AAAGACTGAAATCATTCCAGTCATCTTTTCTGACCACAGTGCAGTAAGATTAGATCTCAATTACAGGAAAAAAATTATTAAAAATTCAAACATATGGAGGCTAAACAACACGCTTCTGAATAACCAACAAATCATAGAAGAAATCAAAAAAGAAATCAAAATATGCATAGAAATGAATGAAAATGAAAACACAACAATCCTCAATTTATTAGAGAGGAAATGGAGGCTAAGAGTTAAGTGACAAGCTGAAAGGCACAAAGAGTATTCACAACCAAACTAAAACAGAACTAATGATATATTTGCTGTCCATTTGCCCCTTTTCATTCAATACATTCCCATTCGCTTTTTCATTTAATACTTCCTATGCACTTACTGCATTCTAAGTAAAAGTTTATGATCTAATATTGAAAAAAATTAAGTAACTGCACAGAGCAATTTATGATTAAGTGCCAACTGACTGATTGATGCAATGGATATAGGCTCCATTTTTCTAGGGGTATATTTATTCACAGAAGGAAAAGATTGCTGTGGATCAAAGAGGTCAGAAATACCTCATGAAAAATTCAGAGATTAAGGAGAAGTAAGATTGGGTAACAAAATGGAAAAGTTGAGGATACTAAGCAGGGGTGGAGCTTGAGCAACAAGGAGGAAGAAGTATGGGTGATAGGGGGGAGAGTGGTTTATAAGCTGGGGCTTGGGGTGGATGGTGAGGAGTGAGAAGTATGGCTGCATGCAAAATCTAGGGAAAGACTGGTAGTGAACTTTATCATATGGTTATCATAGGTTGAAGAATTTAGAATTGATCCTGGAGGCTCTGAAGACTCACTGAGGTTTTTCATAAAATGGGTGACATGATAATCAGTATTTAAGGATGGTGCAATAAGTATTATTGCAGTGGTGTGCAAGTTTTAAAGGAGTCAGGCAAAGAGAATAGCAAAGATGGAGGGGCAGGCAGGCTGTTTGGAGACCAGGAGGGTGTGATGCAATAGAAAAGAGATGGATGTGAAACAAATAAGATTCTAGGATGTGAAGTGACCAGATGCCCTCCTGGAACCCCAGGGTAAAAGGGACACTCAGTTCCAGAGTCTGGGAGCCTGAGACAATAGCAGTGCTGGTGACTCTACTCTGGAGGTGGCCATACCATCTTCTTCTGGGAGGTGGAACCCCCTTCCCCACTCTCAGCCTATGTGCTTAGTGTGGGACTCCAATCCCAGAAGTACTGGGTACAGCCATCCCTGTGTAGCTGTGTCTAACAGGTGATGAGAGGCAAGTCCCACTGTGGCACACACTCCTGCCTGTGTGCATGCAGTCCCTCTCAGTCACTCAACAAACTAAGTATCTCAAGCCCTGTGCTCAGTTCTGGGGATACAGAGAAAAAGACAAAGACTTGAAGGAGCTCTCATTCTAGAAGGAAGAGTTATTGAAACCAAGCAGGACCATGTGGGGCCTTCCCAGTGACAGATCCCTGGTGTCCCATGCCTCTTGTTTGTAGAAAAGCTTTAGTCTCCTAGGTTTTCCCCAAGATCCAAAGAGCAAGTTTAACCAGAGAAGTGAGAAAATGCAGAAACAAAGACAAGTAAGACAAAATAATAGTTTAGCTATAAAACAAAGTCAAGGACCTTTAGTTCCTCCTCAAGAGCTACAGACAATATTCTGCATCATATCCTTGAGTTGTTTTGCAGATACTAAAACCTGCACCAAGAGGAAGAAGTTAACTACGTGCTGACCACCAGCATGTCAACCCCAGATGAGTAGGAAACAGAAGGTTGATGGTGTTGACTCCCAAACACCACCATTACCTCACCACCAGTCAGTCAGAAGGATGTACGTGAACTGATCACACACCCCTCGATCTCACTTTAAAAAACCCTCCCTGAAAACCACTGGGGAATTTGTGAGCTGCCTGCTGTCTGCTTGGCCCCACGTTGAGCGCCTTGCAACCAATGCTGTACTCTCCTTCACCACAGCCTGGTATCGGTAGATATGCTTTACTACACATTGGGTAAGTGGATCCATGTTTGGTTCAGTAACATTATGAGAACATAGGTATCTAATCTGGGGCATAAAATGTATCAGGTGAGGTTTCCTAGATGAAGTAATGCTTAAATATGGTCTCAAAGAGCAGAGACACGTTACCCAAGAAAGAAGATGGAAAGGGCTGATATGGCAGACATTTTGCCAACTTAGCACCCACACCACATTCTTTAGTCTAAGAGCAAGCCTTCCCCATGCTCATTCTATATGCATGGGTGGGGCTCCGCATCCACCTCCAGCAACGGAGAAAGTGACTCAACCTAACCGATCAGCACACCAAGCCCCATGTCATTGGTGGAGCACACCGTCCTTGGTAGAGGGATGGCTCTAATCTAGGTCTGGACAATTCCAACCAACCAACCCACCCTCGACCACAGTGATTAGTTCAGGGACATGGCTGGTTGGTTAAATCCGAGGGAATCTAGGAACTTGTGAAGGATAGCATTTTGTGTACTCAGAACTGGGAATGTGAGTCTAGAGCTTTTGGCAACCATGTGGCCAACCCAAGGAGAGAATCTGCTGGGGACTTGCAGATTCCTCTCGTCTCTTAAATTTTGCTATTTGCTTCTTCTCTCTAATCAACTCCTACTTGCTTTCATCATGATATATCTCTTCGCTTTTCTCTTTCTCATTTACTGTATCTTCTATTCATGTCCGACTTGTCACGGCCCCATGGACTGTAGACCATCATGCTTCTTTGTCCATGGGGTTCTCCAGGCTAGAATACTGGAGTGGGTAGCCATTTCCTCCTCCAGGGGATCTTCCCAACCCAGGGATCAAACCTGGGTATCCTACATCAGAAGGCAGGTCCTTTACCAGTAGCGCCACCTGGAAGCCCAGGATATAATTATATCTCTAATTAATAGTCACTGAAGATTCTTGAGCAGGGAAATCTGACCATTTATCTTTGTTTCAGGAAGACAATTTTCCCATATCTAACTTTTCTCCATCTGCTTTCACCCACCTGCGTCTGCTCACTTGAGCAAACTTCTGAGCTTCTACCTCTGAATACCAAGCCTGCCTGGCTGACAGAGACTATTTACCTTCATGCTTGATTTGCAGAATTTTATTCCTTGGTATCTGACCACAGCTTGGCTGAGACCCCTTCTCCCAGTGGCCTGAATGTGGCATCTGCTTGCCTTGTCAGATCTGGTTCTTTCTTTAGCCAACTGGGGAAGATTCACTGTCTCTCTTTACTTCTACATCATCTTTCCCAAATTCTCCTCCTCTATTCTCTCTTTCTGGGTCCTATTCAAGTGGATAATAATTTTTTTTTTTTTTTTTGGCTGCACACTGTGAGACTTTCAGGATTTTAGTTCTCCAAACAGGGATTGAGCCCAGGCCAAAACAGTAAAAGGGCCAAGTCCTAAATACTGGACTATCAGGAATCTCCCTAGAATTTCTTGATAGATGGATCCATAGCAGGTCTGAGAGTCTCTGTATTAGCTAATGGATATCTGTTAACCTCATTAAGATTAGCACTTCATTAAACACTACTTTTCCATTAGTCATGTATGAATGTGAGAGCTTGCACCATAAAGAAAGCTGATCGCCAAAGAATTGATGCTTTTGAACTGCGGTGTTGGAGAAGACTCTTGAGAGTCCCTCGGACCGCAAGAAAATCCAACCAGTCCATCCTAAAAGAAATCAGTCCTGAATATTCATTAGAAGGACTGATGCTGAAGCTGAAACTCCAATGCTTTGGCCACCTGGTGCAGAGCTGACTCATTTGAAAAGACCCTGAGGCTGGGAAAGATTGAAGGCAGGAGGAGAAGGGGACAACAGAAGAGGAAATGGTTGGATGGCATCACCGACTGAATGGATGTGACTTTGAGCAAGCTCTGGGAATTGGTGATGGACAGAGAGGCCTGGTGTGCTGCAGTCCATGGGGTTGCAAAGAGTCAGACACGCCTGAGTGATTGCACTGAACTGAACTGAAACACTATAGGCCAAAAGGTTAAAAAACAAGTATCTTCAAGGCTTCATGTTCATTTCCTTGAAGAGATCAACAAATGATCAGATATAAGTGTCTCAAATACAAGCTCCCAAGCAGTCCCTTTGACAAAGATCCGATCAATCTCTAGTGTGAATAGCAGCTTTGCCCATCCCGCAGACTTTTCAGGATGATGGAACCAGAGATCT